GAAGGAGTACAGCACGAGCGCAAAAGATTGGTGCCAATTACGAAGTGGCGAGAGTGCAAAAGATCGAGCGCATTATGTCTCAGGCTTGCTGTCCAAGCACATGGAATACAAAGAGCGATTTTTAAAGGTTTCTTGGCAATTTTCATGCAATTCCTACCTTAGCGTTTTAAACGGACCTAGTTTCGTCATTGTTTTATTGTTCTCTAACAGTACGGCTGCAAGATTTTTCATTTTTTTTGTTTCTGAATTTGACAAATCCACGTAACTCGTCACAAAGATGCATAGGTACAGTGCTTTTCTTTCGTTTAGCATTGCCCCATTCCATTTGAGAATCCGTTTTGTTCCCGCGTTATTCCACTTTGTCATTCTATCTTTTGCAGCGCCTGTAGCGTTCTTAACGTAAGAGAACAGTGTTGGTAATTTGTATTTGTAATATTTAACTGAATTTGCAAAGCTTTTCATGGTTCAGGACTGCTGTGTTGTCAGGATCAGTATTTCTTTGGTTTTTATGAAGCAAAGGTTTTTCAGGGCTGTTCATACGCGCAGAAGACATCAGAAATGTTCTTGAAATATATTCGTCGATGTGAGACATCACCAGAACATATACGGCAACATGAAACCCGACTTCTTGCCCTAAAAGATGACCTCCGCAAGCGACAACAAAAAATTTTGGATCTGTGGACTCGCAAAAAGCAACAGTTGAATCGATGTCATGAATCTTGTTTGCTTGAGGCAACGGCAGCCGAAGTACGTACAAGAAACTTCGTTTTCTTGTCTACAAGCAAATTTAAACTTGATGTTTGGGAGCGCCATTGGTATTGGATTTTTTGCAGAATGCAGAATGGATAGCTCAAGATGGTGAAGCGTTTTTGCGGCGAGCTTTTGAAAAGAAATTGAATGTTGCACATCGCGAGCATTTGGAAGTTTACATGGACGAATATGTAAATTTCAAGGCAGAAGCAAAAGTTGGTCACAGTTGATTATTTACAAAACAAGTAATTTATGCGAATTTTTGCACTTCAGTGCAAAATTGCTGTTGTGTGTGAGCCATCCAAAATGGAGAATTTTTAGCAAAAGCGGCTGAAAGTGCGAATGATGCTTGAACTGGCCGAGAAATTCCTGGCAACGCGGGATCATCACTGCGCTGCCATCGAGCACAAGATGCTTGATGTGCGGTCGGGTTTCGAGCGCTTTTCGTTACGTCTTGCCGAGTATGAGAACATACTTGCTGCAACACTGGGCAGGAAGTCTGATGCTAGCAAAGCGGTCAGTTTTGCTTTATAGAAAAGTTTGACTGTGTGTACGAGGATTTTCGATTGAACAAATTATTACTAATTTTAGAAGGACGAGTTTTCTCTGGACCGGAAAAGTGATTCGAGTATTGAGGCAAAAATCGAGGGCGAACGTTTAGCAAATGAGGAGAAGCGTAAAATGAGGTGAGCCATCAACAAACTGATTATTCGTGTAATATTCGCTCTCTGACACCATAATTTGACGAAATCTTTTTTCTTCTGCTTCTCTTGTCGGCAGTTATG